GTGTGAAAAGCCCAGACAACTGGTTCATCAACATAGCAATATGTGCGTGAGCGAATCTACAATCTAAAAGTCTGTGTCCGGTGGGTCCTGCGACGAAATCCTCATTCAGGTGAAACTACGCCACCGCCAGTCCACAGGGACAGTTGCTCATGCGCCATCATGTAGCAGTTTCAAAATACGCGCCATCGGTGACTAAGCCAGGAGCATACGAAAACAGCACAGCGCCATCGTGTGCCCCCCCCCCTCCGAACCCGAGTTTCACCCTCATTCCCCAAAATTTCGAATTGCGTTGTACCCCACCCCTTCTCCAACATTCAGCATACGGCCCACGTTGGAGACAAACATGTGAAAGTGCGCCCCAGCTGAACAGTCGTGTCCCGACAACAAAGTGCATCACTTCGTTTCGCCAAGGCAAACATCGGTTGCGGGCAATTGCTAGGATGCATGCCTCGTGCCTGTGATGCTAGCGAACTCGGAACACCTGGACGTAAGTACTAACTTTCACTTCTGACCTCTACTTTCCCATCTCGAAGAAGCCCCTGGCTGTTCTTGCATGGTCTAGTCATTAGCTGAACATGATTTGAATATTGAAGTTGAGTTTGAAATTCCCGCCCAATTGTTTCTGGTTGAAGCATCATGAGGTGCATAAATAGTATCGGTTTGGTGTCCTGGGAATTCTTGCACTCGGAATTGTCGGGGTGAATTCCTTCAATGGCTACCTAATTGTTTTCCATCCGTCTCTCATTGTTGTAAATATTCCACTTTTTAGAGAGGAATTAATTTAGGAAAAGCACAGCATTGCGCTACACTAACAAGTATTACTAGCATCTTATTTAGGACATTCTAGCTAGTTGGAATAACTGAAGTACACACGATAACATTGAAATGACTGATGAACAGCTGGGCGCTATGTGGCTCGGGGGGCACTCTGAGAAAAGTCATCTAGGACTAAGCCTAAACAGCAGGGACGAACTCCGGAGAATACGAAAATTGCTTCCGTACACCGGAGTTCCTCTCCTCTTCAAAAGCTTAGTCCTAAAACGGAGCGTTTCCGTGATTTTGACGCGATGTTGCGAGGTGCCCCCCCCCCGAGCCACATTGCGCCAACAGCTTAATAGTCGTTGATTGCAAACCCAACGTCCATTCCCAATCATCAAAACTTCTTGGTAATTTTACTCATTATCCATTCTTCAGTTGTCTCCAACATTCGAGGGAAGCACTTTGTCGCCACACATATCTCCACAAACGCGACGACCGTTTGAAGTGCAAGTTCACGTAGTCGGCGTGTCCGAATCGATCAGCGATGTTGGTCTCGCATGGAACGCGCCGCCACCGGCCCTTTAAGGTTCGTTTGCGATTGGCCTAAACTCGCGGCGTTCGCGCCTGTCAATTTTCTATTTCATTCGGTTTTTCGATCTATTAACCATCGAGTGCTTGCAGATCGCATTCGATGGCTGTCTGATCAGTTTGTTCTCTCCTGGATAGAGGCCAAGACCTGGTCGATACTGCGCCAAGGGTAGGTATTGGATAGTAGGGACCGTTCGAATGCAGAAGTCAAGGGACATGACACATTATTGCATCAGTAGTTGAGCGTGGTGTTTATTTTTATGGTTGCGATTATGAATTGAAGTTGAGTTTCCATGTATTAGTCTAATTAAAGGGTTGTTGCAGTCCTTTCGCGAGAGGATTTGTGCCCTAACCCATGGAAGACGCGGCGTGTTTTATGCAAAGGTTTTAGTATTTTATATTACGGCTCGGTCATCCAGTAAGGGGGGGCATGTGGTGTGACAGTTCTTGCCGGCTACAGAAATTTCCAGTTTTTGCAAGGGGAGGGAATCCCCGGGGTGCGTGAACCATTTCGCTTAAACTTTTACACCCACCCGGAGCTTCCCTTTGAAAAAAGTGGATTACTTCACGCAATATGAACTGTCGCACCACATTGGCCCCTTACTGGATGAGACCTTATGGTTCAAATGTTCCTTGGGCGCTCATCCGGTAAGGGGGGGGGCATTGTGATGCAACGTCAAATAGCTGCCCTCACCCCCACCCCCTGAACTGGCTTCACTCCCCCTGGCTCACGGGGTCCCGTACTTCGAGAAACCTGTGCGCCAGGGGGAGTGTAGGCAGTCTAGGGGGTGGGGGGTGAGGGCAGCCACTTGATGCCCCCTTACTGGATGAGCGCCGTTCCTTGTTTTATGGAAGGTGTCTTTTCGTACAGTGACCATGCGTCTAGACTTTTTTCATTAGAAATGTTAATAGGACGAAGCGCTCATCTTGCTTCCCTTGCTCTGAAGCAAATTGGTTAACCTATCCCGGAGATCTCGCTTCCCTTGTACAGAAGCAAATTGGTTAACCTGTTCATCCATTGCAGAACTTGGGGTTACTGTAGGCACACGAACTTTTGTAATGTAAGCCACAATGCCCCCCTATCGTAACTGCTTGCACCAACACCACTTGCTGAATGACGTCAGGCCCATGACATCTGTATCCGAACAGATTATGTAGTTCGGAGTTGCTCTCTATCGCTATTGTTCAGCTTCTCTTTCATCTTCCTATGTGTTTTGTCGAATAATGGATGACAGCTGGGGCTGCGAGCAAGACTTTTTTGCAGTCTCACCATTTGGAGGATCCCAAACGTTGAACGAGTTGGTTGATGGATTAACTTCGAGGAAACCGACGGTGCGTACCCCTGTTTTAATCAACTTATCTTGTTTAAGTTCGTTTTCTATGTGAATCCTCAATCGTGTGTTTTGCCCATATTTTGTTGCCTTAGTGTTTTGTTGAATGTTCAGTCGCATTGCGAAAACTCGAGTCACCCTTTTATGTAGGGACCTGGAATAACAATTTGAACATCCTTCACTACAGGAGCGCATCCGTTCCTTGCAATCTTAGCATGGGAGAAACATCACTTCATGGGCACTCATATCCTGCGTTCGCACCTTCCGACGGTTTGATTCGAAGTTAGCAACTCGGGTATAGAAGCCCAACAGCAGAGGGACGACGGGAAATCTTGCTTTCGACCGATTTTGTCAAATAAGCGAGCTCCCATAGGACCACAACCTTTCCAAATTTGCACATTCGACCTCCTCGTATGAAGGGATCAGGGACGGTTGATCCCAGTTGCAGCAGTACCCCTCGGTCAATGGCGGATTTATCTTTCCTAACCTTTGAGGGAGATAATATTAGCCGAGTGGTACGTGTTCCTTGAGGGAAGGTTAGTATATAGCCTTGGAAGAGAGGAAGCCCGGGGCTTGTGAGTTCTGGCGCAAAAGGCAACCCGTGAGTATCACTTCTGTGAAGTTTTATAATAAAATGAACCGTTCTTCACGGTTCCTAATCATGGGGCCCATTGAGCAGAGATGCTCCTTTATTCAGATAGATTCTCAAAACCCATTGCAAAATCCGAGAAATTTTTTCACACAAAAGATAGGATGCGTAGTATGTAGGACACTTAATCAGTCTTATCAAAAAACTACGTTAAGTGAGCATGTTATCGACATATCGAAAGCACTAGAGATGCAGTGCACAATGGAGTGACCCCTTCTGAAGAGAGGTGACGTTGCCGAATATCAGTGACGCTTTGTCACTGCACAAAGTAGTCTGTAATCGAAATTTCAACGATTTTTGAGTGTGGGGTGCTAATAACTGAGTAGGGTGTCGGTTTTGCCTATAGTGATATTTGGATGCAGAGCCGCTTTAGCTTATTCCTTCGTGTACGTCAATATTCGATTTAGCGAACGGCGAGATTCAATTCTATGATCAATTCTAAGTTCTCATTGTTCATTCAACATACCATGAAAGAACTAGAAATGTATGAGCCTGTCATTTGATCTTGTGCATGTTTAATTATAAGAATGTCTTATTGAGCTAAAATCTTTGAATTGTACAAGACTGATCGCTAAGCGGCACACCCATCTTGCAGCGACTAAAAAGTGTGTTTTTCAGAGCACTGATACGATCTCGTACAAGTCTGCTCCCACGGATGATGTTCAAGTGGTGCCTTGTGTTATCAGGAAGAAGCCGCGGTTTGCGCCAAAGATTCTAAAAAAGAAGAGCTCGTTGAATAAAGTGTCAAAGGAACCGAATGTGAAACACGTCACGTTTGAGGTACAGTAAATTTTGAACCATCTTATTTCAAAAGCCTTGGGTATAGAATTAGACATTTTTTTCGGGGACACGTTCAATTCAAGGGCAACAGGTGTCAGCTGAATAAATTAAAAGAATCACTCCGTTAATCAAATTGGTGTTGTCATGTGCTATAGTACCATTTGTTATTGAAAAGGTAAGGCATCTATTATGTAAGGAGTTTAAGTAATATTACTTATCGGAAGGGGGGGGTGAGTAAGAAAAAACAATAAGAAATGGTTTTTAGCTTCTCATTTTTACAGATCTACTACACAGAAGTAAAGAATGCCTAGTGTAGAACCGAAAGTAGAACACCAGTAAATTAGAGAATGTGCGACGTCCTAAATGAACGATTACTGGATTCTCTCTAAAATAACTTGTTGACTGGAGGGTATCTAGGATTTTAGCGGCATTTTCATCTCTATTCCATTCCATTTTTATTCCAAAATCGACAGGTTCCGCTCATTACAAGCGAACATTGATTGTGAGGCTCACGTAGCGAAGCGTCGCAACTTTATACTTTGAATGGACAAGTAGGGTTACTGACACCTAAAAATTGAGTGCATGGTACCTTCGCATGCGAAACCTTGCTTTTACGCGTTCAGCCATATCATCAAGCCACTGCTTAATGATATGAGATCTCATTCACTTTTAAGTTTGGACTCCGCTCTCCGTTTGGACCGGAGGAAAATTTCGAGAACGTACGTGTTCTTGCATCTATTTGGTTCAAGCTCCTATATGAAAGCCCAATGTTGTAACTATGATTCTAGAAGTTTCTTGGAAACTGTTTTAGCTTAATTGTTGAAGTTCCATAGTATTAAAACTATTGCAGGTGGGCCTCGGGTGTGGTGTCTCGGGAAGGCAACATACAGGATCGCAGTGCAGCTCGTGAACGCCTTGTTGTGAGTTTTTTCTGTAAATGACGAATTATTACGCACACACTTCCTTGTGACAAAAAAAAACTTGTGTTGGTGTACATGAAAATGTGTTAGAGGTGCAGCATTATGGAAAGGTCGCCAGGTCCTTTGAGATGAGTTGCATCTCCCATTTACATGTGTCTTAGAACGTTGATTCCAAAGCGCATTTCCAAATCTGCTTAACGATGTTTTTTAACAGAATTACTACTAGAAATAGAGTATTGGTAGTGCTTCGTAATCGCAGACCTGAGATCATAGATTCGACTCATTGCCGATTTTGCTCCTTTATATTCCCCAGAAGGACTAGAAAAGTCTATACTCACTACTATAATCTATACTCGATACTTGCAATATTTGCCTGCATACAAAGTTGTGGCTTGCTCCTACACGGTTATGCGCTTTTGATCTCTGTTTGTCCATGTTGCTCATTGCGCACGCGCCAAGTGAATTCTCGCTAAAGAAACGTCCTATGTACGCTCAGAAGCCCATCACTCCTGCATTCAGGCTTAATGGTGCGGCGAAATTAGCTTTCGAGTTATGATTTGGAAAAGGACAAATTATCACATAATTGACGTGCTTGTATTAACCCCAAGATTTACATGACATTATAAGCTTAGTTGACGTTAACAATCTACTCTAAAATGACGCACATGATATTCTATGACCATGAGCGTTCATCTCAAATACACTCTTCACCTCATCTTGCAATTATGTTTGCGCTTTGGTTTTGTTGGTATATTGGTTTTGTCATTAGATTGATGATTAGAAGATGCTTCGATATTGAAATCACTTGTCAATAACATTACATTTCTGAACGGCCGTAAGAATAAAACTATATGTACACCTTTTGAAGGAAAGGACAAGCTTTCAAATGTGGATAGAAGCTATTCGCAGGGGGTATTTCAACTTCTTGTCACGAATCTCGCATATTTGGCGCGAAGGTGCAACGTTACGCATGCTGTGGATACTCGCGGACAACACACGGACACTCCACAACTTCGTTCAGGGATTTGTTTGGCAGATTTGGAGACAGTTGGAAGTAGGGGGCGGTGTCGTAAATGTAATGCCAAATGAATCTCAAAAAACGCCAACGCACTGTTGAGCTGGGATCCTTGCTGGAACACCGAAATTTGCTTTAGTTTTCTTCCTATTTTGCTATGATTCCATGTTTTTATGACGATTATTCGGTCAATTCCATTTTATACGGAGGGATTTGAATTTTGTTCTTATACGCCGTTAGCTGAACATTTTTAAGATCTGCATTCTATGATTACATCGTCGAACAGTCATATGACTGGAGCAAATGAACCTGGCTCGGAGCTGTTACGGCAGCAAAAGAACGGACGACAATATCGTTTGAATGGGTATTCAGGGAAGCTTTCTGGGAGGCATCAGAAAGATGGCTTGAGGTTTCAAGACAAACGTTGTGGGAAATGAAGTGTTGCTCATGAATGGAGAAAAAAGTAAAGTTATAAATGTGGAAGTTTGTGGGTACCTTCCAATGCTTCGGTTGCCGCTATAAACAGATTATTAGAGAAACTGTCGCAATTCGTTTCAATAAAATGATTTGAATGTGAAGTGTCATTTTAGTTCTAGTTGCTTTCAGATGTCGTTGGGAGGCAAAGCACCAAAAGGAAGAGCTGTGAATTACAAGATTCTAAAGAAAGAGCGGAAAGAGAAGAAGGAAGAGGAGACCAAGAAAGCAGCAGAAATGAAGGCTCTACTTCGAGTCAATCCAGCAAAGAAGAAGAGGAAGTAGTTTCGGCGGGCTGTCTTACTTTAATCACCTTTATTGACCATTGCTTTCTTTATTGGACATGCTGGCGTGTGCGCTGCATATGTATAAACTTTTCATTCCAACATATTGTCAGATTACTGTTATGGTTTTCGTCCGCAAAGAATATTGCAATGGAGTTTTACTTATCAACATTATCGAACATGTTTCAGTGCCAGCGTGGCAAGAACCGATAGGCTGATTTCCGCATCATTTCATTCAACCTTCTAATAGAGTTTAGGCTCGTTTCTCATTTGGTAACGTTCGTGCGTTATGTCTGGTCTTTTTTCTCTCATTTTCATTGTCAGAAAACGCTGTTGTACTGTTTCGCGTCGTTTTGAGGTCGATGCTCAATTTAGATCGATTCTATCGCATGGATGATACCGTTGACGCACAAGCACAGGCTTGTCGCTGTTACCTGTTAAATACTATCTTCTGCCTTTCTCTACTGATTGTATCTTATTTATGTTTCACCAATGCCCAACCATGTGCGAGTCTTCCGCGGGGTACAAGAAAAAGTGTTCGAAATACGTTTAGAATAGATTTATTGGGTTTTCATATACGTATGTAGTGGTTGTGATATTGTGTTGCATGGGATAGTTCATTTGGCTTCTCGGTCGGCCTCTGCCACGTGGCGCGCCTGTGGTATATTCTAATTCCGGAAGATTTTCTTCCATATTCAAGGTTTACTCTATGTAAAATATCACCTAGTTCAGGTAGTGGTGTGGTTTTGCCAGGATGCCGCGTTCTCACTCTCGTTCCATGAGCAGAAGTCGTTCGCGATCTCGCTCCTATTCCCCTGTTCGCAATGGCAATGGAGTGGTAAGTGAACCTATTGGTTGCTGCAACCACTAATTGCACCTCAGCCTTTGTTGCGACACTGGTTTGCATGCTTATGTGTTCCCTTGCTTCATAGTTTGCACCGAACTCTCGAATAGGCGGAAGAATTTCCGTGCAAGCATCGCTTTTTTTGCAGTGTCCATTAAGACATTGCTCACTGCTGACCGCATACCTTTTATCTGAATATACAGAGGTGGCGAAGACAACAAATCGACACTTGTCTGGTTTTTCGAGAATTCTGCCAATCTGACTCTAGCCTAGTTTTTCTTTAGCGATCACATACTTTATGGTGATGAATATTAGGCAGACTAAGCAATGAAGTATATGGGTCGGTGAAGTAATCGCTACGTATAAAAACTGTTCTCACTGGTTGACCGATTTTCTTAAAGGAGACTCATTAGCACCGCCAATGCGTTAAATTCGCTAGTTCGACGCAAGCTATGATAAATGTTTCTTGTAGTTAGCTCTGTCTGAAGCATGGGTCGAGGCAAATACTCGGCATTTGTTGCTTAATGTGCTGACTAAAAGAATGCTTTCTATTCGATGTCTCAGATAGAGGTTCAATCTGTTGGTAGTAGATACTCACTCAAGTGTTTAGTTTTCTGTTTTGGAGAATTAGTGTGTTCTTTCTTTCCTTTCTTCCAGCTAATACCTAACGGAGCACATCTAAACGAACTCCCTATGTTTCTTTTGTTGAAATTAGTATCAAAATAGTTGCTATCATGAAAGCCGATTTTCGTGCGGGATTTGTGAAGTAGGTAGTACCCTGTCCCTTGAAAAAGCAGGCAAGTTGTGGAATGAATCCCAGCAAGGCCAAACTTTTTAATATATCTTTTGAAGAGATCTGATGAACACTTTTTTCAAAGCCCTTTCGTGAGCAGTATTTCCATTTGTTGCGCAGATCACGTCGCTACTTGATGTTTGAGAATGTACACGCAAATGTCCTGGTTGCCCATCACGTTCAAATCCTCGTAATGTCTCGTTCTCATCTTTTTAGATCGAGCACCTTTTGCAATTTCAGCTCACACGGTTACGAAGACAAACCGTGTTTAAGCTAAGAACTTTCCTAGAGCCGTTACCAAAGCATGCTGGTTCTTGCTGCACGAGAGGATTTTAGTAAACGCCTTCCATATAATAGACGGAAGGATAAACCTATTTTTGATCACTAGGGCATTTTTGAAAGGTAGTTACACAGACATAGAGCAAATACCAAAGCTTTCGATTTCTAGCGATTTTGTGATCGTAGCTTTTATTTTCCTTTCAGTTGCTTTTGTGTGCAGAACTCCATAGAGCTTCGCTTTTACTTTTTGCACGAATGCATGAATATGCCTGCGGTAGCATTCGACTCGAATAAGCATATAAAGCTGCTGGTACGTGTGACGACAAGGTTGCTTGACGTTTTCAGTCACGTTATATCTGTTGCGCACTACTTTCCAGTCTAGGGTCTCTTGCTAACGCACGGATTGAATGCAAGTGTTTGTGTGTTAGGTGCTTGGATAACCTCGTGTGTGCGATCCCTTGCTGTCGTTAATAGCGTTCACATTTGAACTGTAGTCAGAGCTTACTCTCGTGCAGTTGTTTGGTATGCATGTGATCTGTCATTGCTGCACTCAAACATTTTTTGTAGATGAAAAAGGATTTCTATTCGTTAGGGCGGGGTATCGTTTGCTAATCATCTGTCATATTCTTCGCTTTTGTTGATTGGTGAATGCGATTGTCTCGTGACGAGCTCAAGCACATTCATGGTTGGCGAGTTAGAAGAGGCAGCGAAGAAAATGAAGACATGAAGACCAGTGAAATTATGAAGTAAGGAGAAGACATGTACAGCGGCTGCTAAAATCAAGTTGACAAGAAAATGAAGATTCGTCTGTGTGGTGAGTATGCACCATTGGAAAACAAGGTTCTTGGCTGGAGCACCGTAGTCGCTTCTTGTCAAATCACAAATTAATTTAAGGCCTAGTGCTGCCCAACAGTTAGGATTTCCTGTGCTCATGATCTTAGCATCAGTGAAAATGGTAACATGACTAAAAATGTTTCAATAGCTCGAACCACTTGTTTTGAATGGTGAATTTCCCTCGTGCACTGAAGGTGTGTGACAAAATAACTATTTTGCAACTCAATTGTTGCTATTTAGCGTGGAAGATCTACGTCTCGGACTCTGTCGAGATCGAGGTCGCGCACACGTTCTCGCTCTCCAGTGAGGTCTTTTTCGCCACGTGATAGACGTGGGCGCAGCCGATCTCGCTCACCGGGGCGACGTAGTAGGCGCATTTCGCGCTCGCCATCACGGTCAAGAAGTGGAAGTCGTTCACCGTAAGTTAATTAAAATAGTTGGAAAAGCAATGAGGATCGGTATCTAAACCTTCAAATAAGGATTGTAAAAGTACGCTTTCCAGTGATCGACGTGATTCAAGGCGCTCCCGATCGCGTAGCCCACGACGTCGTGATTCATACTTGCGAAGCAGGAGGGACAGTGGGGACAGGTGTGCACTCATTCCTGGAATTTGATTTTGTTGCCTTGAGTTCGATCATAAGCAATCTCTCGGTCGAAGAACATGAGGTAGAGTTTCTGGTGAAAACTTGTTTTTCTTATAGAAGTGGTGGTAGATGGAGAGGTCGTCCATCTAGAAGAGAGGATCCCGATCCATGCAGGTAAGTGCTGCCAAGTTTGTTGTAGTGCTTTGTAGCCGGCTTGCATCGATTCGTTGTAGTCAGGCTGTTTAACTAGGTGAGGCGAAGATTCAGGGCATCAAGCCACCATGATTTTGGAGACGAAAGGATTCTCTTAGTTTGGAACTTTGCCTCCATGAAGCACTTTGAACTGTTCAGTAGTTCGTTTAACATGTAATTTTAGGTGCCTGGGTTGCTTCAACCTTGAGCGTATACACAACTGAGAAAGACCTACGAGAGCTGTTTGGAGAATTTGGTGAAATTGAAAAGGTAATCTTTTTCTTTCGTCCCACGATAATAATTGCAAGATACTCAACGTTTGAAGGTTGAACTGGTTTACGATCATCCTACTGGACGTTCTCGCGGTTTTGGATTCGTGTATTTCGAACGTCTCGAGGATGCTTGTGCTGCACGTGATAAATTGTCTGGTCAAGAGATAGACGGGCATAAGGTAAGCATTGAGTGGTTGATTTGGGACAGTTGCATTCAGAAGCGGGGACTTTTTTTTATGGCGATTTTATTTTAGATTCGCGTTGATTATTCGCTGACAAAACGAGCTCATACCCCAACACCCGGTCAGTACATGGGGGCGATTCGTGGAGGTCGAAGGAATTATGGATATGGTTCAGGTGGATATAGGTAAGGATGACTAAAGGGAAGAAAACTTTGTACCGCTAGTTTCTGTCATTACAATAGTATTAGTAATATGACAGTGCTATTGTAGTTTATAATATAATAGCACATAAATTTTTTCTACTTGGAAAATGTCAGTTTTGACCTTTCAGAACTGAGCGTCGGGAGTCATACCGTGACGGTTATGCCGGTCGTAGTAGTCGGTAACTACTTATCTATTACAATCTACATGGAAGATGTACAGGGAAAGTAAGTTTGACTAAGCTGTTTCAGCCGTCGAACACCCTCTCCTCCTCGTCGCGAACGCCATCGCTCCCGCTCTTATGATTGAATTGTTTGTTGTTATTTTTCGTCTCTGAGCTATAATTTTGATGGGTGGCTTCACCCGAGTGTAAACTTTGCCCTTATATAATTTCGTTAGCATTTCCTCATTTTAATTCTTTTGTATACTTTTGGTTTTTGAAGTTATGTTTACTCACAGTGGTCTCCTGTTTGGCGTGTAATACAATGTACATTATTTGTTCAGTGGTTAGAATAAACATCGCTTGAAACTGATGGCAATCTATTGGTGTACTTTCTCAGAAGGCTAATTAGAGAGATGATTATAGTAATATTTTATGAAAAGCCTGCTTCTGCTATTTTAATAGACACCTTGCGAGCATCATAGCACCTGAGGAGGTATTCGTGCTCCAGAGATTTCAGCTGCGGTAGTGGTGTACAAGGTTTCCAGTCGACTCAGCGACCCAAGGCACACCTCAAATACTTCCGAAGTTTCCGACGTTGTTGACCGCTTGTATCTTTACGTCAAAGGAGATGCACACGAAGTCACTGAAATAATCTCTCTCCCAGAAACAGCTTTATAGCCATTTTTCTTGACGAGAACAAAAACAACGAAGAAATAACAGAGAAAGAAGGGAAATCCTAACAAATAAGACGCAGAAGTTGTTAAAGGGGCAATTTATGCTAAAATCGGTTTGAGGTCAGTTCGGTACGCATGGTTTCCTCTAGGAACTTGCAGACTAACGCTTGAACACATTGACGACAACTCGCGTTTTGAATTTTTTGGCCACGTTGGACAGGGGCGCTTTTTTGAGCGCGGCCGTCGTACCTCGCACCCGCAAATTTCGGTTGGTAACTTTGGAAAACATCAAAGGTACAGTATATACGTGCTATCAAGTGCGGTGACTGCCATGTCAACCCCTAATCATATGGCGAGATAAACTGTAACCAACCATAAGTATTGGCGTGTCCACCACTGTTGATGGCTGTCATCTTCAAGGCACCACAGCAGTGTGTATGGCAAAGTGAAACTTCCGAGAGAAAGCTATACAAAGTTGTTTCCACAAACTACGGTGACGTTGTCAATCTACAAAAATATACGGGTTAAGACAAAGTCTGGGATCAAAGCGATGTGCTATAAAACTTGTAACTGACAG